AGGCGATAGCTGTTGGGCTGAACTCAGCCGCGGGACGAGCCTGGCTGCCAAACTCCTGCGAGGGTAGCGTGGATATTCAAGGACATTCTAACGTTACCATAGTTAATTTCACATTTCTTTCGATTAAGGAAATCCTGTGTGCGGTTCTCCGGCGCAAAGATGTGGCCAGATTTTGTAAACCAACAGAAACGGAGGTTGATATCATGTAGCTAACACACTCCCGGGCTGATAATGTTTCTCTGCGTGTCGTCTTTACATGTCCTGCCCGCACCCCTTCTTCTGCTGAAGGGCCAAATAAACGTAAAGGAAACCAGCGGCTGACTTTCGATGCGTTCATCTCAATTATGGCATCGCTTCCAGACCTCGCCGAGTCGGCGGCTGCTTTGTGCTGAAGAAAAACCAGATTACTGGTGAGTTAAAAAGTGACCCCGAAACCGGGAGAAAGGCAGGTGAACTTTTGATTTGCTGAGTGTTGGAGTGTGGTGAGTCCAGAGGTGCATCAGGTCCAGGTATTTGCTGAGCATTGCAAGCCATTAAATTGATCATTACCGTGCTGCCCCGTTGCTAGGTAACTAACTGACGGTGGGTTTACTCCAGTTCAGATTTGATCACCCCCCGTCCAGAGATGCAACGTCACGTTTACCAAATCCAGTTTTACACGGTTTTTAATGCCTTGAGCTCTCATAACTCGCTGTTTAATCAGTTTGGACTAACCGTACCTTTCGTATTTGCTCTGTGGAAGTGCAGTGTATTTTTCAGCTTTCATGTCATGGCCCTGTTGCTGTCACACAGACATGATCATGAAAGCTGGTGAATTGCCCCTCTCTCTAGCCTGACTGGAAACGTTTCTGGTGTTATTATGCATGGCCTAGAATAAGATATTAAAATAGGAATTGCTGGAATCACCTGTGGATTTGCCAGACCTGTTCTTGAGTGGTTGGTGCATGCTTTTTCCAGTGGGAGCATTTATTTGATGCCCATACTGATATCACAGCATGTTTGAACCAACCACAGTTTTGCCCTCAGTGAACAGGGAAATAAAAAAGAGGCCAAATCTTAGATGTTGCAGTCAGCTCTTTTTTTTTTGACTTAATTAAAAATGTGCATGGCACAAGCTTGTTTTTGTATCCCCTGGACCAGTTTTTATCTTAACATGACTTGATGAGCTTCAGCATCAATTGTCATCGCACTTGAGTCAGCAGGGCCTGGGTGAGTCATTGGGGCAGTGCTGACTTGGAGGTTGTGGCGTCTGTTGTCCAGAAAACGGCTGTGCTACAGTATGATTGCAATAGCTGCTGCGCTGCCACTCCACTCTGACCCCCTGTTTTATTTCCAACTTGGTAATATGTCTCTGAATTAGGATTGCAATCTGAGAGTCATGTTGAGATGTATCTGTGCTGCTGTTCCGCCTCACAAGAACAAGATCCAGCCTGCACTTGAACTATGCTGGCGGAATCCTGGAGACCATGCTTAGCTTTGTTGTTTGTGGGCCTGGAGAATGTTTTACTAACATGCACACTGGATTTCGTTTCTCTTTGACATGCTAAAACTTGTATCCTGACTCCTGAGTTTTACAGCCTGTGTTTTTGTAGCACAGATTGTTCCCTTTTTTTTTGATCCGAAACACGTTGTTTTTGTTTGTTTTGCAAAGATTACGACACAAAAATTGTCAGTGACGAGCAGTATTTTTTTTCCTATTGCCATTCATTTGTGTCACGAGGAATTACACCATAGCAACACTTTGATTTTGCTGACTGTTCTTCACTCACTGAAGTGCTGCTTTCATGATTAAGGGCAGGCTGCTTGACATGAATGCCTTTGATTACAGCATCAATATAACTGATGACCCAGAATTCATATCTTGCTCTTGTGACTGTGCACCGCCTTCTTTAACCAGTTGTACCTGTTGTAGTAATTATGAGATGCTGTGGAGGTTCCTTTTCTGTAAACACAGCAGCTCCTTAAGACATTTGCCAAACTAGTTTTTTAATGAGGGGGGAATACCTTCCCTCCTGCCAGCAAACACAGTCAGTACACACTGTATTGACTGTGCAGATTTCTGAAATTTCAGATTTCAGTTTCCCTTTTCATTGTTTTTCTTGCGTTAGAACATTATGAATTGTGGGTTATTCCCTCAGGTAAGTTCTGCAGCACTGCGGAAAGATGCGCGCAGAGCTCCGAAACTCTTCAGGATACACTGTGAGTATATTTGTGAGCGCAGACATTGAGACCGGGCAATGCTGTTTTTATAGTGTTGACTCTACATATCTAATAACTCTAATGATGTTGGCAGTCTTTTATTTTTAACTCAAAGGTAAAACAGATTAGAATCTTTTATATCCCTTCATCAGAAAACAGCTCACAGTTTTAGTAACCAAAATCACATAGCACATTTCAATTATTCATTCACTACAAATATTGTGCAAATTATAACTTGGAAAATCAAAATTCTAGTTTTGGGATTATAAATATAATTGCAGCTGTTGTCCTACTGAAGTTTGGCAGAGACAAGATCTGGAGGTGTTTGAGTTTAGTGTTTTGTTTTTTTTTTAATTTCTTTTTAAGAGGATTAATATGTATTTTACATGTTTGTCTGGTTGTAAAAAAGTAGTTTTATTCTTTCTTAAGCAAGGGGACATAATGTAGTGACTTTTAAATCACGTTTTAATGCATCTTAACTTAAAAAATGTAATCTGCAACCCACTTTCAGATACTGTGTAACCTGAGAACGCTTTAACTCTCAGGTGTCTCTCTTGAATGTAAAATGAGGCACAGTGTCGTGTGACTGCAGGAGAAAGAGTGGCGTTGCATACGAATCATTTCGTTGTCTGTACAGTTGTGATTTGTAGATGGGGTGTTTTTTTTTGTTTTGTTTTTTTTTGTGTCCCCAGTTAACCAGAAGTATTTGTTAAATTAAAATAGTTCTGATGCAGTTTTGAATCCAATGCAAAAAAAAAAACAAGTGGAGACACTGCGATTACCTTCTTGTTACACAGGGATAATAATTTCAAACTGCGTTCAGTTACTGCCTAATGATTGCTTATTCATGTTACACAGGTGTCTGTCCCCAAGGCTAAAATTACCCACCACTCCACTGTTGTTATCCCCTGTTGTTATACAGTTAGAGGAGTGACGAACAGCTTCCCGATGGTCAGGAGGGAAATGCTGTGAGAATATGTAAATGTATGCTGTATGTGTGAGTGACTGTGGAGTGGAAAATTACTCGCAGAGAAGCCAGTTGTGTGTCAACATGTGAGCAGCCTTGTTTGAGTATTCATAGCACTGTGTCAAATCTTGGTGAGTTTTTTTTTTTTTAACAGATCTTGTGCGTGCCTACAATCCTCACATTGCTTCTGATTAACTTACTGTCAGTCAGTAATCACGTTGCTGTGGAGAATACCAATCACAAATGAGCACACAGCCATTCAGATATAGCGTCTTAGTTTGGAAAACAAGAGAAGATGCACTTCCTGTCAGTTAAAGTTTGAATGACGTATGGAGCTGCTCACCACATCTTTTGTTCCGTGTCTGTACTTTTTTGAGCTGAATATAAAGATGAGATTGCTGCTGCAGGAAGAGCAGAAAAACCCCAGGTAACAGTGAAATGAGCCACATGAGAGAGTCAACTATAAGGGTGAGGATTCAGCCTAATGTGGCATCAACTGCTGTGACATATTGTACATGTTGCTCTTATCTTAAATACAGTTGCCTGTTTGTGTTGTAATTTGACATTATCGTAGTCATGTTGCTCTATAGCCACTGAATTTGTAAAAGCCTTGTGAACTGTCGGGTAACATCGGTGCTGCTACTGTATGTGTCATCTCTTCATAATGTTTGCTTATTTAAGCAGAGGAGTGGTATAGTCTTGGCTTTTCACATAGACCAGACGGTGGACTATTTTGGAAGCCTGCATGCTGATCTTCTGCAGCTTGTGTCCCACCCACTGTATACACACAGTCACTGTCACTCCCACCCAAAGACAAGGTGGCATTACAGGCTAGCTGATAAGATGCAATGGATAGTGACACAGATGGAGCAGCTGTACAGCTGTTAACCACTGAAGAAGGCTTCCTTTTTATAACACACTCCTCGCTTCCTGATTTATTCTGTTTGTGAAACAGGCAAATTTCTCCAGTTGCGTTAGCCAGTTCCTGTGATTGCTTTGTTAGTGTATTAGAAAAGTCAGTTTAGTCTAACCTGGGTATGCAGATTGTTTAATGAGCTTGTGCAAACTTTAATATTGAAGGTAGTAAAAAGGATTCACACAAGCCCTTCATATTATCTTGGACTGTATAGTCTAAATAATTCTCCCCACAGCTGATAACTCCTGGGTACAAAGACTCATGTCATGTTGCCTTTATTATTTTTTTGACAGTCAGTAGAGACAGTTTTTTTATGGGCACTGGCAGAACTGAAGCTACGAGTGCATTGTCTGTTAAGAGCTTTTAAAGCATTCAGTGAACCACAAAGCAGCTTTATTCAACATCCCTTGGTCTTTGTTTATTCTCTCTCCAAGGACATGGCTGTTTGGTTAGTGCTGGAGCAGGAAGTGGTGCTAGGTAAATGACCCAACAGTGGTTCAAGGTTGTTCGGTCAGATATGTGGATTTCTATTAACTGTTTACTCAGTATGACAGAGTGGTTTTAAGGATGAGCATTAATGGTTTGTCCTGAAATAAACCGATGATTTGAACCAAAAGAAAGGCTGATGTCTTTAAGCTGGCGTTTTCTATTCAGATGAACTCCCTGGTTTGCAAGTGCTCAGCTGAAACATTGCCCTGATCAGTCTGACATCTGCTTTGGAATTGGATAATGGTGATAGATGGTTATCATTTTTCAATTTAACATTTAGAGTGAATATTGAACAGCTTTGGTGGGCAGGTTGGTTTGTGCACCCCTATTTAAAATGATGCAGAAGATTTTTTTGGTGCTCCCCTGAAGGACGTTTAAGCAATTTCAAAGATTTTTATGGGTGTTTTCGCAGTTATTCAGGCACCCACAGGGATTTGAAGCAGTCCTGAAAAACATCTTTTACAGTTTATGATCTTCTCTTAGGGGAGTACAGGGATGCTTTGCCAGCTGGCAGGTTGTCTGAAGGTCTAATTTTTCCTTTAATTCATCTTGAGCGGACAATCAGGCATCATGACAATATTTCATACAAGCCTCTATCCTGTACCTGGTTGCTGGCCAAGCACTAAACAGAACATTGTGTTTTGTTTGCACCCTGAGCTCCACAAACTGTCCTTCTCCCCGAATAACCTGCCCTCCCATCTCGGCTCCCTTGAACAAAGCCAGTAATGCTAATGTTGGTGTTGAGCTGTTGACAGGGACAACAGGGGTACAACCTGTCTCCGTGCATCCGTGATGAGCCAGCTGATGAATGACACATTGCTGCTTATGCTCCTACAGTA